TGCTCGACGCGATCGCCGTACACGCGATCCTTCAGATAGCCCCAGAGAAAGTAATCGGCCGCCGAGAGATCGGGCGATCGCGGCGGCGATGGGAGCCGCGAGAGATCAGACGATTCGGACCGAAGACGCGGACGCAACGCCGCCATGTTGTCCCGAGCGGTGCGCGGTGGCCTGTCCTGCTATGCCACCACCAACACCACCGACCGTCGTCTGGCGATGCCGACGCGATCGTAACGACGATCGTCTCGAAGCAGCGGCACCACGTAATTCTCGATCATCTCGCGATACCGCTCGCCGGTGACGCTTCGCGCTGCGTCGCGTCGCCGCATCCTCGAAGAAGTACGGGCCGAGAACGCCGCTGCTGGATACCCTGCACCACACGGTAACGCGCACGCAGTGCGCGCTTTGCGGTCGCCACAATCGCGGATTCTGCGCGCCCCAGAACCGCACGTTCTGCCGATTGAACACCGGAGAAATCGAAATGCGCCTCGTCGCCCATTATGAGGACGATGCACGAACGAACGATCGCGCGCGACCTGTAGCAGGGAAAACGCCGCGAAACCGCGAGTCGTTGCTCCATGTCGGGCTGCGTCAATGTGTGCGCCAGTTGCACCTTGTACACCCGCACGCGCAGATCCAGTCGCTGAATGCGCATGAGAGAGAAGCGCGACAGATTCAGTGCCCGCGAACATTTTTTTCGTCGAGAGCATAGGTTCGCGCGACACGCTGTCGCGCACTCGCTCTATAGTAGCATCGGTGCGCACACTGCACGGCCGACCGGGTCGCGGTCGATCGCGCACGCTGCCCAGCTCGCGAAAACGTCGCACCGTGGCTAGAACGGTGCGACTGCACACCGAACGCCGACGACTCGGCGCGTCGTTCCCGTCGGGGTCGCGATCGCGCGACCGTCTCCAGAGCGACATGACGCGTCTCACGTTACCGTCGCAGCGATACCACAGTCGCACCAGAGTAGTGACTCTGGTGCGACTGTGGTATCCCCGATCGAGTGGATCGGGGGTGCGCAAGCGCCGACGATCGATCGCGACCGCGCGACGATCGACGACGTCGTCCTCGCTTGCGTCGGCGCCGTCTCCGTTGTCGCAGCTGTCGCTGTCGCCATCGTCACCGCCGCCATCGTCGGTCCCGACGTCGCGTCCCGAAGCTTGACGACGGCGCCTCTCGGTCGCCGCGTCTCGCGTTCGACATCTGCGTACACACACACACGCAAGAGCGTTCATCGTTAGCGAACGATGCGAGCGATCGCTTCCGCGGAACGACTCGCTCACGAGAGGTTCCGCTGTGTTCGCGCGTTCCGACCGCGCGATCTCGTTCCTCGATGTTCGCGCGGTGCGACGTCGTCGTCCAGCGATCGCGATATCCGTCTCATCGTAGAGCCAGGAGCGTCCGCGACGAGATGGAAAAAATCGTCGACTCTCGATCGTACGTACGTGCCAGATGGCCGGTCAACGCACGCTTGAAGGAACAAACGCCACAGTGCACGATTCGCCATGGGGCCGGATGTCCGTCGATCGCCACCGCGAAGGATCGTTGCGCTACCGACACCCGCGTCCCTCGTCCGCGGTTCGACGTGACGACCGTCACTCGCGACGACCGTCGCCGTTACGGAACCGTCGACGCTCGAGCGAGTTGTACCGAGCGAAACCGAGGATCGTCGAGTGTCAGCGCGGCTCGCGATTCAACCCTGTCGCCGAGTCCCGCGATTCGGCCGAGAACGTTTCGAACGTGCGAACTCGATCCGAGGTGTTCGCTCTGGAGAAATATACGCGAAACGAAACTCATCCGGACTACCGCTACGATCGCTTCGTAGCGGCGGCTCTCGCGCCGCGTCACACATACCTCGATGATTGAGCGCGCGTTCGCGCGCCGTATCTCTTTGCGTTTTTTCGTGATGCATGCACGTATATATATGCACTTGTATGCACATGCACTTGAAGGAAAGAGGTCGATTAAACGATTGCACCTATGCGTCAGTATCCACTACGAGTCGTTTATTATTTTCCCGCTACAGGTTCACCTATCCTGGTCATCGTTCCCGTCCCGTCGCACCGTACCGCGGATCGTACTCGCCGTACTTGTCGAGCGGTGTCACCGGTTCGTAACGCGCCGCGTGCGCCAGTATCTCGGTGTACGATAGCAACGGCAGACTCACGCGTATTTCTCGATCGTCACGACCGTCACCGACGGCGGCGTCGTCGTTGCCTCGCGTCGCCAGGCGTTCGGTCACAAAGTCCTCGTACGTGGTGTCGGATCGTTCGAAGTAACGACGCAGGCGCGACGGTTCCACGATCGTGCGTTTGAAGCGCGCGAAGTTTCCGGGCACCCAATGACGACACGTTCGACGAATCTCCGATTCGTAGTCCCGAATCTGGTGCCTCGCGTGGCGTAGTCGATCGATCGGTGCAGAAAAGCGTTGAACAATCGCATCGTGGCCTCTCGCGTACCCACGTAACCCATGAACATGGCGGCGCACCGACGACGAAACGCGTCGTCCAGATTGCTGAGACAGTTGGTCGTGAAGAAGCTGAACACTCCGTAATTGTCCGTCCCGTCGTTCGGTTCGAGAATCGTGAGAAATCTCGTGAGCAGACTGTACTCGCCGCTGGTCACGGCACCGCTGCAATTCTTCACCAGTCCGTCTACCTCGTCCAGCAGCAGCACCACGTTGCGACCGGTGTTGCGAACGAGAGCGTGCATCTTCCAGTACAGCGAGCGCAGGTTCTTCTCGGTCTCCGAGCGGTAGGCCGACAGCAGGTTCTCCGCGTTGACGAACGCCAGATTCAAACCGAGCGACCGGGCCACTGCTCGAACGGCCGCGGTTTTACCGGTGCCCAGTGGTCCGTACAGAATCACGTTCGCACCGGCCCGCGTGCTCGGTCGTCGCTCCATCGTCTCGTCCGCCAACAGGGCGCTCTCCGGCTCGTCGTTGATCACGAAATAGGCGTTCAGTAACTCCGCGTGCTGCTCCTCGTAGCCCGACAGATCGCTCAGCGAGACGTTCAGACTCTCGTGCGGTATGTATTCGTACAGTCCGTCGGTGTGCACGCGCGGATCGGCGTCGGCGTCCGCAGAGTCGCCGGTGTCGCGCGCGTCGTCCAAGGGAACGTTCGATTGGAATGGGGAACGCGTGGCGAATCGAGCGAATCTGATCATGAGCGAGATCGTCGACGGTATGCAGGCGGTGGCCAATTTCGCGGAACGTGGTAGACAGCGCGAATTCGCGGAGCTCCGGACCTCCCGGCAGCGACTCGTGGTGGCGCGCGACGACGCGCTGAAACCGGTGTTTCGGACGCTTCGCGCAATGGACATGACCACCACGGGAGCGAACGATTCGGACGCGTTCGACATCGCGTTGAGTGCGGAGTCGGATCTGCGCGCCACGTTGGAGCGATGCCCGACCAGCGAAGCGCTCATGCTGTTGACTGAGGGCGGTGTGGCTGACGTCGACACGACCTCTGCGTCGCGTGCGTCGACGGACGACGAAGACGACGACGACCGAGAAGACGAGGCCGCGGAACGCCTGGCCGTCGAGTTGCGCGCCATAATGTCTCGATGCGACGCGCTGAAGCGATCGCGCAATCACGAATTCACCTCGGCTCTGGAGGAACTGACCGCCGCGCGAAGCAGACGCGAAACGCTTCTGCGCACGCGAGACGTACTGACGTCTCGCGTGCGCGTTTACGCCGGGTTGTTGCGCCGTTACTCGCTGTGGTACTCCTACGTCATCGACATGGGCCGATATGAGAGCGTGGTTCCGTATCGAATCCGAGAGCGACATTGGCCGCCGACGTCGACGGCCGATGTCGCGACCATCGCCGATTGGTCGCGCGAGCTCGGTCGAGACGCTTACGACGCGATGGTGCGTTCGGTGACGCGTCGAAGACCGCTAGCGAGGAGAGCCGGGAACGGGTCGGCGTGCGACTGCGGCGGCGCGTTCGCCGTGCTCAACGATCTGGTCGAGCTGCGGCACGCGTACGACGACGGCGGTGACGACGAGTACCGAGAGCGCTGTCGTTACGTCGAGATAGACAACGCGACCGAGCTGTGGCGCGAGATCGCCGACTTCGAACGCACCACTCACGCCGTTGAGATCGGCGTGCGCGGTCGGTGCGATCGCGCGTGCGATCTCGACGCGACGCGCTGGCCGTCGCCGTACCCGAGCATGTCGCTGGCCGATCGGATTGGATTGCGCTTCGCCGATTGTTGCGCCTCGGCGCCGTTCTCCGATCGCCCGTCCACCGTCGAGGCTCTGCGGATCGTGGAGTCCTCGGTTCGAACGAACGAGGCGTGCTGACGAGGTTCCGATCGCGCGCGATCGCGGCACCTGTTTTCTCGCGGCTCGCGCGGAAACGCGCTCCGCGATCCGTTCGCGAGCGGATCCCATTATCGCGCGAGTCGTGAGAAATAGGTGTCGCGAGCGGATTTTCGCGCGAGGTACGAAAAATATGTGCCGTCTCGAGGATCCTCGATGGATCCTAATGCTCGTCAAAGAAGCTCGAATCACCGTGTTTTCGCTCGATTTGACGGAAACGGTGGTGGCGCGCGGATCCTCGGACGGATCCTAAAAACGCGCGATCGACCGAGCGATCGCGCGAAATAGGTATTCTATTTTCGCTGGAGCGACGTGCGCTCGTGCGAGAATAGGATTCCTCGTTTACCGAGCGGTTGCGCGAATTGCGCACGTTCAGCGCCTCGTTGACCGCGCGCAATTCGCGCGCCGTGTTGCGCTCCATCGATATCTCGCGATCCTCCGCGTTCGCGGCTTCGCACGATCGAGCCAATGTGTCGCGCAGAGCGTCGCGTTCGGCGCGCGATCGCGCCACCTCGTCGCGCAGATGAGCGAGTCGCTCGCCGGCGGACGCGCTCACCTCGAGCGTCCGTCGCGCAACATACGTTCGCGCTCGATCAGCAGTGTGACGCAGTCGCGCAGGTCGTACTCGCACGAGACCTGCGAGCGCAGAGTCGCGAATCGACACGTCGCAGCTCTCTCGTCGACGTGACCCGACACCTCGTCACCGCGCTCGAACAGCGTCAACAGTTGCAGCCACGCCGACGGCGTGTCGTCTACCGCGACGTCGCGATCGTCGGTACTCGTCCCGTCGTCGTAACGATACGCGCCGATTCGGTCGGTCGCGGCCGTCGCGTCGTCCGCGTCGTCGATCGTCAGTCATAACTTGGTGCTCAGCGAGGCCGCGGCTGCGCGCGATTGGGACAGCCAGAGGCGCTCGTCCAAGCGGATGCTAGCCGTGAATACCCGCGAGCACAACGCTCGCAGTCGCAACACCGGCGTCGTCAAGGTGTCGTCGTCGGAAGCGGCGACCGTCCCGACGGACGACAATTCGCGACACAAACGTCGCACGAGCGACGAACGCGCCACGCACGCCAAAACGCCTCGCTGATCTCGCCGCAACGAACGTTCGTCGTCGTCGTCGGCGCCGGACCGAACTCTCTCGTCGGGTCGACAGTGCTCATCGAACAGCGCGTCGATTTCGCGCAATTCGTCGTTCGCTCGAGCGATGGCGTTCGTTTCGCGCGCAGAGGCGTCGCGCGTTTGTCTCCTGTAACGTCTCGCGTCTCCCTAGGGATCGTGATCCGCCTGCTCTCTATTTATTTAGGCCTACCTGCTTACACCGGCACTGCCTGGGATGCCGAGAGCTTTTCCGGACAGATGGTGAAAGGGGGAAATATGGTGATTGTAGGTGATATAAAGATTATGGCTATTGATAGGAATAGAGACTAAACAATTGTTTATTTAACAGTGAGACAATATGATAGTTAAAAGTGTGATATAAATGAGTGATAATACTTATAGTTATATAATTAATGAATACAAATGTGGTTTACATTATATAGCTGCTAGTAATGAGTTACAGTGAAGTGTTGAGAAAATGTACAGTTATCCTGCCCGGTGGAAGTAATGAAGGTGGTACGGTAATTTGCGAGGAGTTCCAGTGAGAGAATAGGACTCCAGTTGGTAAATGTAGGTGGCTGTCTTGTTGTTGAAAGTGTCGTCCTGTGTTAAATCTATCAATTCTATGTCTAGAGTTTCTGTCGTCGAACGCTGTTTAACCAGCCGAGGGTTGCGCGTGTGAGCCCTGTAAGAGCTTGGTAAAGAATGCGAATCCGGAATGAAGTGTCTTTGTGTGGAATGTAATGGACGTGGAGCGTATTTAAATGTGCTTATGAGTCTGTTTTGTAATAAAAACTTGATGTACGATGGAGGAACTAGATCGTGCCCCGTGATATCTTGTATTATACGGGGTTTGGTGGGGTCCATGTGTTCAGACAACAGGGCCGCTCGTCGGCAAGCTTCCTTACGTAGGTGCCTTGCCTTCTGTTTAACGCCCCCGCGATGTTTATTTGGCATCTAACGGATTGAGTTTAAGAATAACATTTTTGGTCGGACAAGTTAAAATAGCAATTGATAAAATTCATTATTGAGTGAAAAAGACTCTTGTGACTTTAGTTATCCGTTGCCAGAGTACTGTAAAAGTACTAATAATTAATGCTTACTACCATGCTTTGGCAGGGTTAGGTTATGCGGATTGTAGGAGAAGGATAATTGAGGCGGGTGGCGGCTGTCAGCTGCGCCCCTGAGATTGAAGGATGCTAAGCACTGTACAGGTTATTAATTCACAAGTTAAATTTCCTGATCTTGATGGAAAAGGGGTGGTCTTATGAGTTGGACGGGATGGATAGGATGCTTGAGCCGAGAGGCACCCGTAAGGCGCTCCTCAGTCTGGACAAGGATAGAGGCGGGTAGCTCCAGTAAGGCGCTTCCCTAAAAGTGAGCAAGATCTATGCTTAATAATGTAAGATTCAGATTTAATGGTTAATGAACTATAAATTCCGCTGGCAAGAGATGTTATGGCACCAATTGATTTAAGTAACTGAATAAAAAGGACAAAGATTTATGAATGCTTAATATCTTCCTTTCAAGAAAATGTTCGAATAAGAGGAAAAAAGCTGCCGATAAAACAAGGATGCTGCATAAAATTAAAATGCTTAGTAGAAAATATTGAAGAATTGTATGCCGATGCAATGGCATATGTTCGTTGTACAAGAGAATCGGTGATTTTAATGGAATTGTACAATAGCAAGTAACACAGTGAGGTAATTAAGGCGTATGCCGATGCAATGGCACACGTCTACACATACACAATAAAATCAGTTACAATTCAATAAATGCATATACATATATATGTGGGTGGGGAAGGATGCACTTCATGAAATGATTTATATTATTCCAGCTTTTATAATGGATAATGTCAAGATCTTGTCGTTATTAAGAATATACTTTCGTCTAAATAAACAATGAGATTGTAAAAATATTATTAATCTGAAACCTTAGTAATTTGATTGTTTAATATAGAATAGTCTTTACGGATAATGGTAATAGCAGAACGCAGTATATTTTATATGTGCAAGTGCAGGTTACAGTGGAAACAGTGGGAATATTATATCAAGTACATAATTATACATGAAATTATAAAGGCATATAAATGTCTTATAACTAAAATAGCTAATGAGAGAGATAGATAGAAGGCTAACATGAAGGAACGTCTCTGTGAGTCCTTGTTACGAGATAATTGTAATTTTTATTTTTATTCAATGTCTATTAACGAGGTGAAGGCCTAGGAGGTTGGAGTAAGCAGATTTTCAAAGCAGAGTCTCCGGCGTAAAGAATCCGCCTGGAGACGATGTCAGAGTGGTGGGATGCCACTGCTGATAAGGATTCTGACTATACTAATACGGCTCTGTGCTTGGCACCGATGCCGTGCGCGCGTAACCCTGTGCTTAGCACCGATGTCATGCGCCCGCAAGGAGGAATGGAAAGGGAATAATAAGTGTGTGAGCGTAGTTCACTGCGTTGACAGACACTGGGGTTTCGTAATCACGATTTAGAAAAAGAAGAATCTGAAGATTGTCTCTCTCTCTCTTTATATATATACTAGCTTGTATAGCGTATCCTAAGGAAATCGGAACGAAATTCTAAGAGCGGTTTGACAAACTAAACGTAGATAATACATTATTCGGATTATAATGAATGGTCCTTATGTAAGGCAGTTACGAACCGACATGAACGAAAATTTCAGCGTGACGCTATGGTATCTGTTAAATAATTCGACTTGGCGTATGGTGAAACGTCACTG